GATCACCAGCTGACTTTATCTTCTCTCCCCCGCGATTCATTGGCTCCTACAGGATGACCGCCTGCACATACGTCTCGGGCTCAATCTGTCTGACCGCCAACATCATGTTCGAGCCCGGCCACTCGGGCGTGCACCACGACCTAGCCCTGGTGAACCACTCCTTTGCCCTCTTGGACGAGTTGATCCGGCAGACGGGGCGGAAGGCTCTCGGCGATCTACGCGACGCGTGCGAGGAGTTGTTGCGCTACGCTTGTGCCTTGTCTCCGATTTAGGGGGCCGTCGATTCAGCATCGTAGGGTGCGGATGCGGTACCACTTTGTGATGATATGTGGAGTCGGGAGGCGAGTCGCGATTCTATATACATATATTTCGGCCTACGGAGATGTGTATATCAATGGGTCTCTCTTCTTCGGAGCAGAACCTGTTGGTTTAGAAAAAGGTATGTTATGTATAGAGGGGCAAGCTACTTGTCTGTTGGACCGACTACTTGTACTGTACTTTTAGTAGGCTCCCTAGTTTCTGCCAAAGGCGTTCAGGGTTTAATAGGTCCCCAGATTCATGTCATCCGGATGCCCGGGTAGCTAGGTACACCTTGTTGACTCTGTGAGCAGCATGTCCTGCTTTGTGGCTATGTGACCCTAACGCACTGACTTGACCCAAATTGACAAGACCTGTCCCGGTAGACGGTGTCCAGCAGCAGTTCTCAGCGCCCTACACGCTGCTAGTGCTGCTCCTGACGCTGCTGTTTCTGCTGCTTCTCCCACAGCGTATGCAGCGTCGGATTCCCCCCCGTGATGCCCACCCATTCCCCTTCCCGCAACTTTGGCCCGGCATACCCAAGCACATCGTCCGGGATCAGATGTGCGCGCTCAGCGTCCAGGAGTCGCGCGACGAAGACGACCGTGTGCGCGTCCAGCGCCGTGGGACCGACATCGTCGCCGAGAATCCACTTCTGGTCACGCCCCTGCTTGGAGAGCAGCTCGCTGATTTTGGAGAGGTAGGCGCGAGACTCTGCCTCGACGGTGGCGATGGACTGGTTCTTGGAGGCGAACTGTTGGAGTTTGGTCCGGTGGCTGGGGATCGAAAGTTCGGCGGTTAGTCCGTCAGCGGTAGGATGTTTTTGTGTTCAATACAAGGGAGGGGGAAGTGCTTCACTCCACGAGGTCGGAGGAGAACAAGGGAGAAGGAAGGCCAGGTGAGAAAATACAAGGGGCGAAAAAGAACTCACTTGTCCAGTTTACGCCGCAACATCTCACGATATCTCGGCGACGTCTCAGGCCGAGCCATGATCTCCTCGACGGCCTCCATGACGCCCTCGGTCCGGCGGTCCTCGGGCTTGAACGAGATGGTCACATAGGAGATGTTGTGGAGTTGCTCGAGGAGGGATTCAATCGTCTGCTTGTGCGCGGATGGGAGGAGGCTCGGGTACCGCTCGCATAGGTACCGTGTGATATCCGCACTGTCGATCAGTTTGACGCCCAGGGACGGGGCGAGGAGGGCAGGGACCTGAGTAGTCATTTGACAAGGTCAGAGGAAAAGAGCGAGATACACACAAAAGGAGCCATGTAAAGCTCCTGAGACGGGCAAAATACTCCTGCTGGCACCGACATACCGTGCCTTTCGGATGCTTCTCCAGATACACCTCGGACATCTGCTCGCCCGTGTAGATGTCAATGAAGCATTCTTCGGGCTCGACGGCGTCCGCAGGTGATCGGGGCGGGCCCTTGAGGCGCAATGTGTAGAGGACCATTAGCGAGCAGATGGAGAAGGGGTTGTAGTATAGCTGGTAGGGAGAAGTGCTGGACTGTGCCATTCTGCGTGCAAACAGTACAAAGTATGTGTGCTTAAGCTGCTGATTGGGGTTTCTGCAACGTCTTCGCCGTCGTTGTTGAATGCTGGATGGCAGGTCAGTGCTAATGCTCCGAGTATTCCTGTGTTCGACACCACTGTTGTCTATGATCCTCCTTGACAGATGAGAGGATAGATACCATCACATATAGAAAGAGCATTGGTGCTGCACCTCAGGCCCTCTCCCTCTGCTCCTGAGTGTTGGTACTCGACGTCACTTACACTCGAGGGGCATACATGCATGTCCGTCAGACACCCGAGCCGGCCGCGTGGTGGAAGTATAGACAGGCCTAAGGCGTCCAGCTGAGAATCTTTCCCCACCCTTATTCGTGGTAGCCAAGGTTTGTGGTGGTGGTTCGTGTGAGATGGATTAAAGCCGTTAAAAACATGGCCCACGTTCCAAGTATGTGGATTCCTCGACGAGACAGAAGACGAACGGTGCTGACAGCCTTTACCAACAGCGAGATAATAGAGTGGAGAATATCAATCGCCTTGGTGGGGGAGTCAATCTTGAGCGGTGGAGGGGTGTCGTGTCAGATCACTAGGAGAAGGCTGTGTACTCGGTATTGTGATGGCATTGGTCTCGGGGAGATCGGGGATGGGATGATAGCCCTGGGGGAATCAACAAGTGGTGGCCTCCATTGACTAGAGTGAGCAGAGGAGTGTTGGGGAGAAGCCAAGGACCTTACAGGAATGATGTTGACGATAGTCTCCGGATGAAAGCAGCAATTCAATTTCTAGCTACGCTAAATCCATTCCCATATTCATAAACCAAGTTCTTGTCCTAACCGACACCTTGTAACCTTCTCTCCGCCTGACTGATCGTACAGCATCCCCGCAACCCAACCCAGATCTAGCTACGCCGCCACTTCCGGCCCAATGGGCGGACGACTCGCGGCCAGATTGCACTGGCGAAACAACCTGACTTCGTCCTTGTCGAAGGCGCCCACAACGCTGTGCAGAACCCCGTGGTTGTTGAAGAGCACAAAGTCGCCTTCCTGCCAGTCGTGCGCGTACACCCGCTCCGGTGCGATCCCCGGACGCTGCAGATCGTGCACAATCTCCCGCACCCGGGCCAGGTCGTCGATGACGCTGCCGTCGCGCAGGTGGATCTTGCGCACGACCGACGGGTGGATCTGCAGCGCGAACCGGCCCGTGACGGGGTTTTGCCAGGCCATGGGCTGGATCTGTACGTCCGAGGCATTTTCGATCGGCGGTAGTTCATCAATCGGTACCTCCTTGCCCTCAGAGACCATGCCCAGCCCGTCCGGACGCGACTTGGCCGTCGAGATCCAGACGTAGGGGTGTGGTGCGTACTCGACCTTGGAAGTGAGCACGAACTCCTTTTGCTCGGCACTGAGGTTGTCAAACATGGTGTACCCCGACACAAAGGCCGTGGTGCCCAGCGGAACCTGTAGGGTGTCATTGCTGCCGTCGTCGTAGAGAACGGTCTGCGTCCGTCCCGTGGGAACCTTGACCGCAAGTAGAGACGTGACGAGCGGTGGTTGAAGACCCCCATATAGCGCGGCGTCGATGTGCCAGCGGTAGAAACGGGTGAAATCCAGATCTTGCTCTTCTGGGATGACTGTCGTGTGGAACGTGCGATGATGGGGGTGCTTCAACGTAATGTCCTTGAGCCCTTCGTACTCGGGGACAAAGCCATTGCCGATGACCTGCACCTCGGGCTGATGAGGCACGGTTTTGAGGTCGGGATGCAGGATGGACCGTTTGGCATCAATCGTCTTGCCGTGGCCGTATGACATGGCCTCCGGATCGAAGCGGCGGGTTAGTTCCGCCTGGTCCTTGGGGGTGAGACCCGCTTGGGACCTGACGCAGATGACATTGTAGGTGTAGAGGGCGTTGCGAAGCGCCTCGAAGTCTGCGTCTGAGAGGTTTCTCAAGTCTACGTCGTTGACAAGTGCCCCAAGTTCAGGTCGAGCTGGGGTGATAGGCGAAACCGTGATTCCCGGCATGGCGTCTGCGTGTCGTACTTGGAGAAGAACCTGTTGAACTGTGCAGTCTGAATGTGAAAGCCCTGAGGGATTGCAACACAAATACAAGCTGAAGTGAAGGGTGGGAGATACATATATATATACTCACATCGGGTGAAGGCATCTCATCAGCTAGATCAACATGCGGCTTACCTGCTGTTACAGCCTCGTACAAGGCAGAAGAACATCTTCTCGGAAGGCACCTATCTCGACTTACTTGGCGACCATACGTCTCCTTTTGATTTGACGTTGATGATGGGACAAATGAGATAAGATGATCGTATATCGCACAGCCCGGCCATCACCGAAAGAGGGATTTCCGGGCGAAGGCGAAAAAGAGGAAAACTTGCGCGAGCTGGTGCCAAGACCCGAAGGTTGTACGAGGTACGAGGTCGTACGAAGCTGATGGGAACCTCCGCCAAATTGCCTATTTGGGAAAAAACCTTCTGTCCCCTTATCTTAGCCCGGGGGTATCATTTTGGTCATTACTCGGTACACATCTATAACCCTTCATATCACTGTCTAGCCTTGCGTGGTCTTTGACTTCCTCAATCCCAGCTTGGCTGACCACTTTCGTGTACTCCGTGAGAACGCACCTCCAGTTTGTGTCTTGTCCACCGAGATCTCTGGCGGTAGAACCAACGTCGACTGACGCGATGACTGTAGAGAGTGGTCACTCAGGGTTTGTGACATGGTCGTCTTCTCCTCCAGACTGAGGAGATCGTCAGTCGTCGTAGTGTTACTAGTGGTTGATGTCATTCTAGATGGCACTGCCTCTTTCTCCTGGATTTGCCGTGCAATATTCACCTCTGCTGGAAGCTCCACAGGCAAACTCCTGCCCCCTGGTAGTTCGCTCGGGATCGTTGTTGAATCAAGCTCGGCAATCCCTTGACCACTAAGCTCCTGAGCTCCGTGCCGGTCGTCTTCTTTAGCTGGCCCAGATTTTTGAAACCGGTTCTTGTAGATGATGTCTTCCAAGCCCGGGCGAAGTTTGCTGAATTTTAATCCCGTCGAGATCTTGGTCAGAGGTATTAACCGATCGACTTCATCGTGAACATGTTTCTGTAACAGGAGCTCTTTCCCGGCAAAGGTTTTTGTCATGGCTGTTGTATAGTAGACGGCCGCATCCTCGATCTGCTTCGTGGAAACGTACTTTCCCTGGTATCGGAAAGCTCGCTCAAGAATGAGAATCATGTCACAGGCACATTTGAACAACATCCGAGCCGTGGGAGGAGCGGCTAGAATGCATAATGACAACGCAAGTGCTCCTCCCGCTCCCATTGTGCCGAAAATGACGCCTGTAGTTACCACTCCGACCCCGACAAACTCCGCTATCGTCACGGTCATAAATTTCTTGAGATGGCCAAGGACCACTCGAGTCATGATTTCTTCAACTTCTTCTGGTAACGCCTTGGGGAATCCAAAACATTGGAGGACATGCTGACAGAGGATTCGAGCAACAGTTGGCGTCCCTATCGCGCCCGAAAGCGGTAACGGGACCATGGCAGTGCGGACCGCGTGGAGGCCCAAACGCATGCATTCTGTGATTGCGGAGTCAATCTTTTGTTCGACATCCACGACTTGTGCCGCAACCGCGAAGATTCGGACCTTTTCATCTTGAATGAGATCTAGGGTCTGTGTCAAAAGTCTCTTGACTGCTTGATCGTCATCTAATGCTCCCCAGTCAGTAATTCAGGTCTCGTCTGCGGACTTAACAGAGTACCGACCCTTGGAGAGACAGCAGTATCCATCTGCCTTGTAATGCTTGATTTGTGACAGCTCCCGGCGAAGCGCCTCGAACTGTTCCTCTGCCAAACTATCCGCTTCCTCATTTGCCAGTCGCTGTGCCTCGGGGTAGTTGCCGGTCTGTTCCATGTACTTATCCAGTAGAGGCCACCTGTGGAGGGCAAGCAATTTGTCCTTTTTGGTCCCAATCACAAATACCGGTACGTGGTTGGAGAACTGTGCAATGGTTTGAAAGGTTCGCTTGTCGGCCTCCTCGATACGGCTGACGTCCGAATCCACGCAGAACCTGTGTATCCTGTTAGCAAGTCGATGGTATTCCACCTAATCCCAGAGAAACCCACCAAATCACATGCAAAGCCTCAGCTGGATCTTTCTGAAATGCCCGATGGCGGAGAAACTTGGCAATCAACTCAAGTTCCTTGTCACTTCCTGCTTGCCAGCCTCTGGAGTCGTGAATGATCAGGCCAGGGTTATTGGGAGATTCAAAGGCTTCGTTGATGTCATGATTGCCTTGCTTGTAGCTGTCTGACTCCTCAGTCTAGATAGCAATGTCAGTCTGAGGTGTTCTCGAATACGATGGATGAGGGGAGACAACCATTTCAACTCCAAAAATCTTGTTTATCAATGTCGACTTGCCTACACCCGTCTTTCCACAAACCAGTATTCGGAATGCTTTTACGCCGCTTGCTTGCAGTTGTAAACCTTCCAGCCACGGAGGGATTGCCTCTCCCTCCTTCAAGCAGCGGTCTCGATAATCGGCCAGATCCTTCTTCATGGACTTGAATCGGGCCTGTTCGTAGAATCGCGGATATCTGTCCAGGATGCAGAATACTGAAGGATGAATTATCGTGCCGTAACTTCCTAGACTCTGATCAGAATCACGCGTGTCGGAACCATGGATCTTGTCCCTTACCATCATCGCACCATCCAATGAATCCCTTGGAACTGAAAGCTTTGCGTGAGCTGTTATACAGTGAACTTGAACAATTGATCTGTAAATTGTGGGTTTGGTTGTCATCGGCAGCACTTCCGTGCAGAGACTGCAGATCATAGAAGCTGACTTGTATGCCGTTCGAGTGGTAGATCTGCCATTCAATTTTTTCACTCCCATCGAGCTTTGGTACCTCGCCCGCATATTGTGGGAACGCTAGGGAGAGGGGGTTTTCCTTCCCAGCAGGCACCGAGTCCTCTTGCTTGGGTTGAAGAACGAGTCCAGCTCGCATACTTTCAATGAGCAGCCATTGTAGAGGGTATAAGGACAAACCATCCTCACGGGCGCCTCCTCCAAGGTCCTGGTGCGAGCCCATGAACCATGCTTGAACGAAGCTTCTCCCCGTCATGTCCGGAGCAGATGGTGGATCGAAAATTTCCGGACTCAGTTGAGAGCGTGTCTCATTCAGAGCCAAGGCATGTCTCAGGTTCTTGATGGATGGGACAAACGCGATGTCATGCATGTGGCCTTCGGCAGTGTATTTCACAGTGTCCATGACCCCAACGAATTGTATGACTGGTGGCCGGGTTGTATGCGACCGTAGAAACTCGATCATCTTTGGGCCGTTTCTGTTATCATCCTCCTTGCGCGCCCGGTAGATGTCCAATGTAGTCTGATAAAGTGTATCGAAGTATCTCAACGACGTGCTTTTGGGTAAATACATGGTGTCCAACAGTCCGGCCACCGCACGAACGACGAAAGCGCCTCGGCCGAAGCCGTAGAGGAAGAGCTCATCCTGAGGTTCATCAAGGGTCTCGCATACTTCGCGAGCAATGGATTTGATCTGGTCCTCGTAGTACGGTGTTGCCACACGGGTCTTCAACCTCTCTATCAAACTTGGCCCGTCCGAGGCGGCACGATAGTAGCGGACACTCTGCTCGATCGTCCGACCCTGCGTATCGACAGAGCAGCCTTCAGGGATGATGTGTTGAATGCGGAAAATATTACTAGAGCTTTCGTTTCCTTGGACTGTGTTAATTGGTATTGGCGAGGATATGCATAGCTTCCCACACCTGAAGTTCCATCTTCCCCGTTGTATTCTTCAGCATCGACGCAGACAATCAGCCGTCTCACATGCGCCCTTGCGGACATTGCTCGGAGGAGGAGCTCAGGTAGGCAATCGAGAGTCAGTTGTCAACGTGGACGCGCAGTGTGTCAGGATTTCGACGGCGAATTGAGCATTTCGAGCTGCGATAAAAGGCGATCAAGGCCTCAGCTGTAGTACAGCCGACCTGTCTGGGTCTGAAGAGACGAGTGTTCTGAATGCCTCGCACGCTTGTACTGACGAGTACAAAGTACCTCGTACAGTAGTTATCAATGCCATGGCAGGGTGAGTTGGTGGCCTGAAGATCTTCAATGCCCCCGCACGTACAACTACGAGTACTTGTTACTCCCAGTTGTGCCTGGGCTATGTCTTGCAAAGGGGACATGACGCCTAGCACACCCGCGTCATTGGTGTTACCGATGATCAGTCAATCAGGGGGGTCCTTTAGGCACTAACCTTGGGACGGTGCTGACCTCCCACCCTCCATTGGTCCAGGTGCCCTTCTGCACGGGCTTGAAACCCTAACGCTCTTGGCGAGGAATAAGGGCGGCTTCAGAGCTTGTTCAGCCTCCACTGTGATCACATTATCAAGCAATCAACTTTCATTATTGCAAGCTGGCGCAGCCTAGGTAAGACGTGCCATTGCTGATCATGTAACACATGGCAATGACCTGGATCCACTACTCTAACAGTTCGTGCGTATCAGTCTGACAATTGTTTCATTTTCTGATTGACTGATACACCAGCTTTGAAATACAATACGGGACACCACCCTGAAATGCGCTTTTCGAGGCTGATCAGTCCGCGACTTGGCTGGGAGACAATGCTCAGGCTTTCTCGACTTCGTGCACACCCACTCCTCCCTTTCCTGTCGACGCACCGACCTCGATGACTTCGACTTTGGCCTTGTCACCTTCCATGATCACGGCAACTTCTTCGAGTGACGGCCCACGTGTTTCAGGATAGACGAAGAAAATCACGCTTGTTTCCACAGCGAGCCACACCACATACACGATGTAATATTTCCATGTGATATCCTGAAGTCCAATTGGGTTGACAAATTGGTTGAAGGAGCTGCCGCCGCGAGAGAAGAACTGCGTGATGGCGACACCCTTGCTCCGATGGATGAAGGGGAAAATTTCGCAGATGAAGATGTAGGTGAGTGGCATCATGAGGTTGTAGAAGCCGTAATAGATGAAAATCAGTGCAACGACAGCGATGGCAGCCGAGTTATTTGAGTGGTCTTTTGCATACACCGCCGAAGCCGCAGTCCAGCAAGCAAAGAGCAGCGTCATGCCACAGTACGAGATCAAATACTGACGTCTCCGGGGAAGGAAATGGGCCAGCAGAGCTCCCGATATCCCGGTCACCAAGTTCCAGCAGGAAAGGCCGAGATTGATCTCATTCTGCGTTCTTTTTTTAGTGATGCCAACAGTGGCCAGGACTTTACTGAGGTAGTAGCTGACGAGACCATTGCCTGACCACTGCGAGAACAAGCCGACGCAAGCTGCAATGAACACTCGCCGTCGATTGACGCTGGATGTCACAAGCTCTTTCCACGGCCTCTTGGTGTTCTCGATCTCCAAGCGGATGGTTTCGCGGATCTGCTGGAACTCTGCTGCCACCAATGGACTTGATCGATCGCCTTCCGCATGATACTTGATCAGGATCTCCAGAGCTTCTTCGTGGCGGTCCTTTGAAATCAAGAAACGTGGGGATTCCGGCACGAACCTGGAAACGTCAACTTGTCTGCACAATTGATCTGCACAATTGAAGAGGGAGAGCTACCCACCAGATGAACATGAGCTGTAACGACGAAGGCAAGAGCTGCAGCAGCGACGGCAAACGCCAGCTCCAGTTGCTGTCCCAGGAGAAAGTGCCCAGAGTGATACCCGCAGCCAAAATCGCTCCAGCATACCAGCTTTCGTTGAAAAGACCCGTGATCACAGACCGTTCTTTGGGATATGTCAACTCAGCGATGAGCTGGGATGCTCCACTAATTCCGTATACGATTCCCATTCCAAGGATGATTCTGGCCACCAGAAACATGGCAACTGGTTGAGCTTGTCAGCGGACGACTGACAGAAGCAACTCTTACACTACTTACTGTCAACTGCAGCCGCCTGTAGGACTGCACCGATTACGATAATCACACTTCCGAATACAATGCAAGGTTTGCGGCCAAAGCGATCGTTGACGTAAGGGACGAGTGGCACCGCGACCACAGCACCAATAGAAAAGGCGGCGGTGATCACACCAAGTAACGCCCCATTTGGGTTGCCAAAGTCTGGGACAATGAGTTAGGTTTGAATTGCGTCGCAAGTTGCGCAACCTACATTCTTCCCAGGGCTGGACAGCCTGGAGCCCGTTAAGGACGCTGCCGTCGAAGCCACTTGTGGCTTCAATTCCAAGCCTTGATGATGCCAGAATTAGCATCATTTCGATCCAGGAAACAATTTCTAGGACAAACGCATTTGATTATGAACTCCAAGGGGACGGTACTTACGCAGCAGGCACGAGAAACAGATAAAGACGACGAAGATTCTTCTTCCTGTACCATGGTGTCTTGTCTTGCTGGATCAGGTGGGTGATCTCAGACACATTCGCGACATCTTTAGCAGAGATGTCATGACCAGCAACTGCCTTCGACATGCTGGCTTAGTCACTCTTCAGATCGGCGACAGGGAGCTTAAGGAGAAAAGCCTTTGCTTGGGAATGTGAGAAAGTAGGACTGTCTTGTGCATGAAGACATGGGGAGCCTCGAGGATCTTATGTAGAGTAGACAATGCTGTGAGTTCACTATCTGCCGAAGCAAACAGACTACAGACACTTGTTGAACTCAGCCTTGTGGTCTCATTTTCCCCGCGGACTTGTCTCCACAGGTCTCCAACTGATTGGAGTCAACGTTGAGCACGAATGGGTTACCGATACCAAGACAATGGAATTTAGGCAAGAAAACATTTGAGGCAGATAGGCAAATGGTCTGAGATTTCCGGAAAACGCCCGAGCATCATGCTACTGGTCTGCCCTCGTGGGAAGTGGACCAGTCTGAAGGCGCCGCCATCAAACAATGAGTCGGGGCTGACTGTATTTGAAGCGATGCAAATCAGTGTACTGGGTACTCTGCCTAAGCTATGTTCAGGCGGGTTTGGCCTTGGACGCGACGGCGGCATAGTCGGACATGATCTTGTTCAACCCCTCCCGCTGCACACAGTTCTCGAAGCTGAAGCTTTTCGCCAGCTCCTCCAAGGCGCCAGTGTCCTTGTCGCGAAAGAGCTCGGCAAATTCCTGACAGAAGGTCTCGGCGAGGAAGGTCTGCAGGACCGCACGCTCAATGTGCCTTGCAGTGTTCCACGTGGATGGGTAGACGTTCTTCGCCGTGGGCGAGACCGAGTCTATCCAGCTGATGAGGGGCAGCATCACATCGTCGACCTCTTTGGACGGGTACTTTCCCCATGCATCCAGTTGCAGCCGCTTCTTCTTTTCCAGCATAGGCTCGATCAGTTTGTTCCAGGGCGAGTCGGGCGACGTGTACACCATTCCCTGGAGGCCGACATCTTTGAAGAGCCAGATGGACCACGGGATTCGGAACTTGTCGTAGATGCGCAACTGCTCACCTAGCATATTGTAACGCTTCTGGTTGACTTCCTCGGCGTTTTCGTCCCATCTGGGGTTTGCGTACACCGGACCGAACTCGCCGTTCCAGATGGCCGTCTTGTGCCTTCTCTGAAACTCCGACTTGCGCAAGAACTGAGCCTCCAGTCTCTCCTTTTGCTCAGAAGTGCCTTCGTACGGACGCCCGGTGGGAAAGCCCATCATGCTGTAATCATGCAGCGCGTAGACACAATTTGGGAGCACAGTGTCAAATCCCTTCCACTCGGCCGCAAAGGTATTCCCGTCGAGCCACAAGATATGGTCTGGATCAACCGCACGGATTGCTTTCTCCAGGCGAGCATAAAAGGCGGGCAAACGGACATGTTTAGGATCACAGGGTTCGTTGATGGGGTTATACCCAGCTATCCAGGGATTACCTTTGTAGCGGCGAGCGAGCTGCTCCCAAAGCCATACCGTCCGGTCTTGGTGGTCCTTGTAATCCCAGAAAGCGGCATAGCTCGTTGTATTGTCGGCGTGCCAGCCAGGACCTTGACCACCCGGGACAGTGTGCATGTCGAGGATGGTATAAATACCTTCCTTTGCACAAAGCTCGATTACCCGGTCCAGGTGCTTGAATCCGCTCTCTTTGAGCACGCGGGGGCTCATGTCGTCTTCAAAATGCCGATAGTTGAAAGGAATGCGGATGCAATTCAGACCCAGGGACTTGAAGAACTTTGCGTCGGCCTCGGTGAAGAAGTAGTATAGCCACCGGTCGAAGAAGAAGTCGTACTTTTCTTGGCCCATGACTTCCAGCATCGCGGCCCGAATGCTCGATTCATGTCCGGGATAGCCAACGATGAAATTTTCCATACTGGTTTTCTGTCTTAGAGACGATGCCAGGCGGGAACAGATGTACTTGGTGGAGCTTACTTGAGCCATCCCCCTATTGCGCAGCCTCGTAAAATGACTGGGTTTCCCCCTTCATCAACCACCTGGGAATCTTTTACTTTGAGGATTCCTGTCGCCATTGCTTCGGTATGCCTTGGTGATGCTGCTCAATTGGTTTTCCTGGACCCAATGCGGACGACAATGCTCGTTGGAGAGATTCCGTTGCCTCATTGCGTTTGAATCTATTCTGGAGATGGCTTGTATTTTTCCCCGATTCACGCAAGGCTTGGAGATCATTTAAATTTAGGCTAAAATTCAAACAAAGTCGAAGGGAAAAGGAAACCATCGGCGTGCAACTCCGATTCAGCCGAGAAAGCTGCTCCATGCCCAGGAACTAAGATGCCGCCTCTGCGCAGGCTTTGCTCTCACGAATGATTTTGACTTGTTTGAGCAGTGATTGACCAGAAAGAGGAAGACATGACGCGGTGGTGTAGAAAAATCGATATCACGTGATATACAGTAGCTGCGCGGAATGATGAAACGCTCCGAAGTAGCCAAGTCTACGGTGAATCAAAAGAATTATGCAGTTACGCATGCTTGGGCGTGCCAATGCTCTCAATCTCCTTCCACTACCACCAGCACTTGCCTTGAGCTTGCCATCAATGGCGCGTTGACAAGGGGACGAATACTCCTCTCCATATTCGCCATGGCAGCTCAGTTGCCTTGTCTCGCTCACTTCCCGAGACCAAATTACTCACTCTGCAGGGGCTCAAAGCATGCAAGGCACTCCAAAAACATGAAGACAGGAACCCATGGCCGCTGTGTTGGCCCATCCCTTTGTTCTGTGTCTTACATGAGCTGTGCCGTTAATCCTGCGAAGTGCTGGAAGCAAGGGGGAAACTGAAATCTCTGGTATGTATCGACATTCAGTAATATTCATGTGGCCTTGAACGTCTATGCTCTGAAATATTTGCGTCACATTCTTACTTTCAACTTGGTGATGCGCAGATGACATACATTCCAATGAACGAATGTTATGGAGACCAACTTCATCAGGAATGTAAACAAGGTCGTGTGGGCTCTTCAATTCAAAAAGGAGCTGTTAGAACACCTGAGCCACAAAGCCTTTGTGGTCACTGAGCAAACTTTGGGTCTCACAATACTTGCACATCTCTGTGTAAACCATTGTCAAGGCGTGATATCACCCTACAGCATGAATAAAGACGAGCTGAGTGGCAGACGCCAGTCTCCCAGAGAGCGAGACACAGCAAACAACGAAAACAATGCCGACAAAGACCAATCCCCCTGTAAGTTCAGCGAGCAACTGCCCTGAATGCCTGCCCTGAAAATGCTTGACTCACCATCTTTATAAACTCAGCACCGCGCTCTGTGGGAGAGAGCATCGTCGTTGGTTTACCAGATTACGAACCTGCTCCTGTGTATTTCAGTATGGTTGGACAATTCGGTGGTCCGTGCTTTGACGGGTTGACCAACTTTTGGAAGAAGAGCATGCAAGTGGAGGTGGATGGTTCCGTTGAAGTGGATGGGAATGGTGCCCAAGTCAGGCATCTTGCAGTAAATACCGAGCAAGTTCATGCCGTGAGTCTCTCACGAACCTATCATACTGATCTCTAACGGTTTTAGGCTGTGGCCTATATTGGCCAACGCGCAAAACAAGTCACAGGCAGGCTTTTCATCACAGTGCTTCGCAATCCATCGCACCAGGACGGTCAACTCGAAGAAGTGGGCGAGGTAACGATGTCGGGCTTTTGGCTAGAGGACACCAAATTTGTGACATGTGCCCATTTCCTGAACACTGTCAAGAACGCGAATGCCGACGAAACAGAAGCTTTTCTGAAAGTCGCGAAACCACAGAGCCCGCGAGCTTTCGTTTCCAACAAGAAGATCGCTCTTCCAGGGATAAGCGCAAGCAGTAGGTGTACAGCCCCTCGTGACTGGGTTCCGAATTTCTAACGAATATCAGCTTCGGATTCGTGGCCCGTCCATCTCCTGAGGCTCTCTCGAACTTCCGACATCGCAATTTTTGAGTTGAATCAAGGGACAGCAAAAGGGGGGAGCCACCCACCGCATTCAATCAGGTTGAGCGAGCTATCAGCCTTACTTACAGCGCCATCTCCCGGGAATGGGTCAATCACCTCTTTCGAGCAAAACAACCTATCGTCACTCCCTCTTTTTGCAGCCTATTATCCCGGTCAAGATGATTTTGTCGAGAATAGCGACGTGTCGCCAGCCCGAAAACAATTCGCCAGGGAAGCCGGCATATGGAGCACGTGGGAATTGTTTTGTGTGGAAAGCCAGCTCCTCAATCCTGTCTCTGCAGGAAGGCCACCCGTAAGTCACCAGTCGTCATATGCCAATAGAGTCTAACAAATCTTTCAGAGCTTCACCTCGACATTCACAGCTCACAACCGGAGCATAGCCTTTGGTCAAATCGAGACACCCTATACATCCAATCCATGCCACGGTAGGTCCGGCAACAGCCTCTTTGCGCAGACCAGAGAATGCAGCATTGTGGGGACCTATGGGTGTTCGGGAGGTATGGTGAGCCTCCTCTTCCACGGTGCAGGTGGCTGGCGATCTGTCGTCGTGGGACTCTGTAAGTCTATGCCAGAATCGATGGCTCGGCCTATAGAGAGAGCTAACCGAGTTGTGCCTTTAGATCATGGGGAAAGCTGGAACGATCGGAGATACAACGAAATTATTGCTTTCACCCCCGCGTTCGTCGACGCCATGCGGGCTGGGACCTTTTTGGAGCACTGACGAAGCTTGAAGGACCTACCTTGGTGCTGATACTTCGTTTCATCAGCGCAGGGAGTGTGAGAAGAACGGGCATGAGGATTTTGGGCCATGAAAGTCTCAAAATTTGAAGTACGGCGGCTAGATGGGTGAAGAGGTCATGTCTGGGAAGTGTTTTGCTATCAAAGACAGGATTCCCATCAGGGTATTCTCATGCTTTTATTTTGGAGCGATTCCACATTGTTCAACCTCAGCACACTGGTACCCGTGGTGTTGGTGTCATGGCAGAGTGCTAACCGGAGTCAAAGGATAGGTAGCCATAATTGAGATCAGACAGGGACAGATCCAATGCTTTTCTCTCAGTCGAATGTCACAGGTATAAACTAACTGCACTCAACGTCCTTGTCCACGCTTCGAACGCGTCGTTTATCAAGCATTAGGTGGGTATTGTGGACGACGATTTGTGATAGCTGCTGTCAGAGAGTACCTGCTCTCCTCCTTTCTCTGGAGTAAGTGAGCACAAGTATTTATTCGCAGCCCCTTGCCGTCGCTTCACTCTCCACTCTGTAACCCCCTCCTCGGCTGGTCACTCGACGGGAAAATCGAACAAGTCCGCAACGTCCAGCGAAGAATCAAACAGGCCGGCGAACTCATCCCTGATTTGCGAGTCGAACAACATGTACTCGCCGCCGCTGCCGTCGTCGTCGTGCTGATCTGAACCCAGGGTCTGGTCCATATCCAAAGGGTCACCCCTCCACTCGTCATTCTGCGTGTTGGATTTCTCAGAGGTTCGCAGTCCGCCGGAATCACCGTCCCAGACTACCGCTGCCGCCGACACCCCAGCATCACGCCGACGTGCAGCAATCTTGTCATGCAAGTCCTCGAGGCCCTTGAGACGGTCCCACACGCGCATGACGGGGCCGCAGCGCGTGCTCAGTCTTCTGAGCAGCGCAAGCGCCGCGTAGAACGTGTCACGGATCCCGGCCCAGTACTCGGCCGCGGCGTGGACGGCGAGCAGGAGCAGGTTGCCCAGCGCCGATACGATGAAGTGCTTGAAGAAGACGGTGTGTCGTTCCAGGAGGTCCGTCGAGGTTTCGAGCTCCACGAGCACGCGAAGCGAGTCTTGGGCCGCGAGTAAGGCCGTCGTCGCCTGGGCGCTGTAGCTTTGGATCCCCGACGGCGATTGCAGAAGCGGGCGGTAGATGACGTTCCGTAGTTGGTTCGCGCGCACACAGAGGGCGACGCTGAGGAAGAATTGTGATCGTTGGGGGAATCTCTCTTGGGTGGAATCCGTTGGGTGTGCGACTCGTGATGTGTCCGCATGTCCATCACTACTAGGCCCAGACGACCCAGGAGAATATCGGAGTGACTCCGGGATCTGTCGTTGCCACTGTAAAACCTGGTAGTCGAGGTAATCGACCTCGTCCCGCACCACATCCGGGTCCTTGCTGCCGAACACATTGCTCATGTGCCATGCCTTGCCGGACAGCTTGGTAAAGGGGATCATGGTCCGAAGGTAGAGGTGGTCGAATGGCATGGCGACCAGTTTCGGGTCGACGAGACTGTCCTGGATCACGAACGGCACCCCCAGCCCGAGGCTCGACCGCCTGTCCAGCATGAAGACGGACCAAAAGAACCTCAGCGCCTCCTTTCGCGGCGCTTCGGCCGGAAAATGCTTCAGCAGCGTCTCGCGACGGTGGAGTCCCATCTCCAGACATCTTCGCGACGCCAGGCACACGTACCTGCTCGCCTTGAGCTCTTCGTCCAGGTGTAGGTAGAACAGTGCCTATGGAGAAAGGTCGACAGGGTCAGCGCTGGGGTCTTTTGTAGGGTGGTCTGGTGCACATGAATGGGGTCTCACGGTAAGCACAAGGAGTTGAACTCCGTGGATTCCTTCCGCGTTCATCAGCGAGTCATCCGACGAATCCAACACACTCTGCACGAGCTGAACAGCCATTTCGCTGTTGACGACACCTAAATCCATTATGCTTCCCATAGCAATGAGCAGTTTGGTCTCGTTGATGGCCCCGCTGTATAGCAGTTCCAGCGCTCGACTGAAATGGTCCCGATATCTGCCCGCCTTGATCGCTTCCAGGGCATCGAACAACATATGCGTCTTGGCCTCGAGATGCTGGCTCTCGACCACTGGGTACATGGCTCCGAGGCTGTCGTGGTAGATATTCATCCACCTGAATGCGTCGGACCGCTGGATCGTCCATAGCGGGTCTCGAGTCAACAGTCGTCTCAGCAACGTCTTATCCGCCGTGTGGCCCCCTGGCATAGCTGGCGGTGAGAACGACGGGTTCATGGCCTGTTTCGGGCTCCCATTGCTGACGGCGGTGCCGCCGATGCCTAGATCGCTGAAGCTCTCGTTGGCCACTGTAAACGTAAATTCCGAGCTTGTCGGGCCATGGTACTCTGGGGACAGGGTTTCAGTCCCAGACGGCGAGGTCAGACGCCGTGGTGATCTGATTCTCGGGAGTATGCTGTTCGAAGATGTCTCGTCCGTAGTCTCTTTCGACGGGTTCTGCTGCTGCTCGACAAGGCTGACAAGACCAGGGGTTTCTGAATGGGTTGCTTCGTGAAGAGAAGTACCTGCACCCGAGAGACTGTTCATCTTCTGATGGAGACTGTCGACCTTTTCCATGATCGTTCGGATCTGCATGTCCATATTTGCCAGACTAGTACCTCCATTATCCTCGTGCTGCCTGGACGCAGAAGCTGAGAGGGCATCAACGTCTCCTCGGGCTAGCGATCGCGGATAACTGCAAATAGTCATGCTGTTGAGGCATCGCTCGCAGGGCTCGTCGCCTGTGCACTTGACTTTTCGCCGTTTGCATTCGTTACTGTTACAGGAGTCCCAGCATTAGACCGGACCAGACAGACAGACTGTCGGGGCAGGCAAGTGACGCATAGGCCAAGGAGCGTGTTTTGCAACCAGTTCACATACCATGCGTTGGAGACATAGCGAGACCTCTTTGTTTTCGGGGCAAGCTCGAGACTGTTGTCGTTGGGTCTTTTGGATGACATGTCGTCTCAACGGAGAACCTCTTCGGTAATGGTCATGCCTTGATCGGTCGATTTCGAATATTTGGATGATAATGTCGGCGGAAATCAAGTTCTGCCTCTAGAGAAAAAATCAGGGCAAGGAACGCTCAACAGTGTGTCGTCAGCACATTTAGGGGCGTCGTCTTTGGAGGATTTGTCTCTCGTAGCGCCGAGGCTGTCAAGGGGGGGGGATGAGTGAGCTTAGAGTTCCGGATTTTGCGGGGTTGCGGGGGCGACTACGATTACGATTAGGCGTGGGAGAGTCTGTTAAAGTCCGGCTAATCCCGGGGACGTTAGCAATTTAAGGGCCGAAGGGCCGAGATGCCCCTCAAGGAGAGACGGTACTGTGTACCTATACCAACACGCTATCGACGCTCATCTGATCTACTCACAGGTATCTAGGCCTGAGACCCTATTGTGCTTCCGCCCAATCTACCTCATCAAGCCACCCATAATGGCCTGCGGCTCACCTAGTAATCACTGCTTCACATCACCACAGCCCTGATCATTCCCTGCGCAAGCTGCACAGCTTCAACCCTCAGCTGCCTTCAACCCCTGCTCCAACTCCGCGAGGTTCCACGGCACGAATCGCACCTTATATTCTTTAGGCTGCGTCGTGAGGGACGCCGGATTCGCCACCCCCTCAATGGGGCGCGTCTCGATGAACCCATCCGGCTCGATGCGGAAACTGTTGAGCACGCGCAGAAACAGCACGTAGAGCTCTCTGTACGCCAACTGCATGCCCACGCACATGCGTCCGCCGGTACCGAAGGTGAAGATGGGGGCATCAGGCGTCTCGAGCCAGCGTTCCGGGCGGAAGGACTCGGGGTCGTCCCATAGTTCGGGATCTACGGTTGAGTGAGACAAGAAGGGTCAGTGGAATGGCTTTTGTGATGGGTCGTAAACAGCTTGTTGTCTCACTCACCCATGTTGCAGGCCCAAACGTTCAGGAATATCACTGTCCCCTTGGGGATCATCTTCTCGTCGTACACGAAGTCTTGGATGGTGCAGCGAGGCAACGATAGCCTCGTCACGGAAAAGTACCTGAGAAAAGATTGAGTGAGTACTATGCAACTCGACAGACGAGAGTGAAGACAGAGAAGAGCCATTCGGGAATCTCGGCCATAAATACCTCAGAATCTCCTTGATCACAGCGACCAGGTAGGTGCAGCTTTGGTCATCCGCCGCATCACAAAGCGGACGGTCGGCAGAATAAATCTCACGGATTGCTTCGAGCGCCTTTTTCTGGATATCCTGTCGCTTCGCCAGCAAGGCCATCCCCCAACCCACCGCCGAGTTCATGGTGTCGAGGCCGGCCGCGAGCAAGGTGAGGTTGAGAGACTTGAGCTCCATCTCGGTGAGCTTGGCGTCTTCATCCACGAGGACGTTTCCTCGAATACACGGCTTGTTGGTGCCCTGCTTGATCCGTTTCTCGAGGTCCTTGTCGAGGATGTCTATGTACCTGTCCCGGCGAAGCTTCATCTCCACTGCTTGGGACGACTGGGTATTCCATGGGTTCAGCCGGAGGAGGGGGATATAGTCTTGCAAGTTACCTGTCGTACTTCGGAAATTGCTGATCGTGTCCTCGACATGGACTATCTCGTGGAAGAGATCATTTTGGGACTCCATTCTCGATCCCCAGTGCAGCGTGAGACCGATGCTCATGTTCATCCGCAGGAACAGGGGCATGGGGTTGATCCCCTTTTTCCCGGAATCGCCGTATTTGAGCGCCTCGGAAAGGAAGACACGGGTCTCCCTATCAAGGTGAGGGATGTAACTCACCACGGCCGGCCGGTTCAAGGCCGATGCGACTGCTTTCCTCCTTCGTTTAAGCGAGTCAGAGTACGGACTGGTCCCGATGGTGGTGCCGGCCGTGTCGGAGATGAGCTGTTTCCACCAGGTATCAATAGTGTTTGGCCCCACTAACTTTTCATGGATGAGATGCTCCTCACCTTGTGGAAAGTATAGAACTCTGGCCGCGAGCTGGTCGCGTGCGAGTTCTGGTTGAAGATCGCCTTGGCCGCTGCGGCCGAGTTGACCACCAGGACCGGGATGTTGCCCAGCTGGATCTGGTAGACTGGACCGTACTGCTTGGCCCATTGGCGGTACTGTTCTGGAGCATCCTTTTGACGGATCTGCCAGAGGTTGCCCACGATGGGCCTTCCGGGAGGGCCACCAAACTTGGGCAGTCGAGCTGACCAGCGAACGAACTCGTAGACCACGAGAGCAATTGCGCTGGCGGCCGCGAGGAGGAGGGGATACAACGCCCATCCCACCTCCTTCGACCAGGTTGTCGTGATCAAAGTCATCGGAGGTCTTGTATCTTTTTCCAAATCGTAAAGACGGCAGATTCACTCATGAAACGATAAAACGCGAGAGCATTCCAGTATTGAAGGAGGGCCGAATACGTTGCCCTTGGTGAACATCAAAAGCATTTTATGCTCTCGTCATGTCCATCCCCTTTTCCACCACGGGTTAGCATATCAGACTCATGTCATATCCATGCAATGCCGGTAAGCCGCCCAAGTCAGCTACCTGATACTCATCTTCGAGGGCGGGATCTGACAAGTTTGCTCGGAAAGCCTCCGATATTCCGTCAGGCGGCCCAAGAAATGCCATAACCAAATAATAAATGCCACCAATGCTGGGTCAGGGTGTTGCGTCATTCCGAAATCTTTGCGCAGAGTGACTGGCTCAAGGGTATCCTTTGTTGAGCATTGTCAACTCCCTGTCACTTGTCGTCGGTGGGCTGGTTCAAGAGCCTTTGCTCGCAGGGGTCAGGGATAGACAAAGAGGGTTGTGCTCGATACTAATTAATCTGCTTAGCTTATAGAGCTAGGCGGCCATTCCTTGTACTAAGTTGCAATAGGATTCGTCTGATTTTAGCGAGGTCAGCTTCTTCGACGCCATGTACAAGGTACTTTCTATCAATATTTATGCCCTCGGCTCATCCACTGGCAGAGACAAGTGTCGACACCTGCGCCCAACGACCCTACAATTTAAGATACCATGTCTCAACCCCGACGACCGTTCAAGGAAGTGGAGAAGTCCCGCCCTGACTTTGACCACGCTGCCCAATTCACCGTAACAAAAACTCGATCGCCGTCTTGGAACTGGGGCACCGGCGCAACCGACGGGGGCGCCTGTCTCGACAAGCAACACGTCGAGGTCGATCCCAATGAGCCAGGACGACCGGCACACAACAACTACAAACTCTTGATCTCTGCCATCGTGCCGCGCCCGATCGGGTTCATCGGAACTCGCAACGTGGACGGCAACACACAGAATCTGGCGCCGTTCAGTTTCACACAGGTGGTGAACCATGATCCGCCGGTTTTTGTTATAGGATTCGCCGGTTCCAATGACAAGGACACGCTGCGAAACCTCAAGGCCACGGGCGAGTGCGTCATCAACATCATCAGCGAGAATTTCGTCGAGGCGGCCAACGCGGCCTCGATCGACACGCCCTACGGCCTGAGCGAATGGGACGTCTCCGGTCTGACCCCGGCCCCGTGCAAGGACGTCAACGTGTCCCGAGTCAAGGAGAGCGTCTTCAGTGTCGAGGGCAAGCTCCTCGAGGTCAAGGATTTCGAGAGCCGCGTCCACAAAGGCGTCAAGTCCGGGTCCATGGCCATCATTGAGGGTGTGCGGTTCTGGATTCGCGAAGACGCATATGATCAGCAGCAGGGGACCATTGACCCCGCGGTGTTGCGACCGGTGTATCGCCTTGGGGGCATCTCTTACGGTCGAGTAACGCAGGCCTTTGAACTTCCTCGGTTCAAATATGAAGAGAAGAAGTCTGAACTTCCGAAGATGTAGACAGACAGTACCATTACCATGTGCAGATTTCATAGATTTATTGCGAGGACTGGGCATTGACTGCGCAGCTGTGTCTGCCTGTCGAGACGGAGATGGGATAAATGTTTGGCATTCCCACAATCAGCATTATCCTCATATTGACATCTGCCATCTCGTAACCTCTGAATATGACTTCGGCTATCGGCATTTTCAAGCTTGTTACAGTCAGCGTCGTACGCAATCCGCGAAAGGTCAGAAAGGTCTTGAGGTATGTATCGTGGACTGAGTGCCCAATTCTCATTTTGTCGCGGATACCCCACCAGGTTAGACCTATATGAAGATGGTGGCCTCTTTCTCGTCGCCGGCAAGACTCCGGGGGGACACGCGTTGAGAACCTGTTCTGACAGGCCTTTCGACAACGGCGTGGATGTCCGGGAGCCGTGTCATACTCCATGTAAAAGCGACGACTCAATGAGAAAATGGTTCTCACATTTCAACTCGTATTAACATGCTGCAGCATACACTCTCATCCAGGACCATCGCTAGTGAAGTGAAAACAACTCTCATAGACACAGTTGGCAGCATCACAGCAACAACATCAGGGGCACTTGTTTTTGTCTGTATTGACTGTGATCACAGATAGTTGATGGCTTCAATGGCATGACCAATATGTTACCACGTCGCTTCCCGAGGTTCAGGCCTCTCACAGCATGTTTGCAGTCGCCTTGAACGTTGGTATTGCCAAGAGAAGAACGAGGCTGTCCCCAAGACAGGATACTCCACCAGGTGGGTCTTCCACACTGCCTGTTTCCGTGACGAGGCGCAAGGCTACACTTCGGAGCCAACGGAATCTAGATGGAATGAATGCTTCGTTCCGAGTTAGACGGTGCAGCAAGATGTTAAATGAGGGGAAAGGCTACGTATATGCACATGTCCTACACCAGGCGTCTCTTGGTACTCATTCTAGAGCTCCTTGGTCATTCTCAGCTGTTGCTGGGACCCTCAAGCTTCTACACCCAACATGGCACCTGCATCATGGCTCGACATTGCTAGCGATTCTCCGTTCTCGCTCGCCAATATACCATTTGGCGTTGCCTTGTTTCCCGGGTCACAGACGCCTGTGCTGGCAGTGGCCATTGGCGATCTCGCACTCAACCTGGCCATATTTTCGTCCAAGGGAGGATTCGGCGCTATCGATGAGATCCAAGAGCATATTCACGTATTCGCCCAACCTTCGTTGAATGCTTTTGCTGCTTTGGGTCGAAAAATGTCAGGAAACGTCCGGCGGTATTTGCAGGATATCCTCAGAGCAGACACCCCCCACCCTCAATGCCTTCGAGACAATCGACAGCTGCGGGAAGAATGCTTGGTGCCCCTGCAACAGATCCAGACCAGGTTGCCATTCCAGATTGGGGACTTCAGCGACTTTTACGGCGGCATGAACCACGCGGTCAACGCAGGAGCCCTCTTCCGGGGCCAAAACGGCGCTCTCCTGCCAAACTACCTCCACCTCCCTATGGCTTATCATGGCCGATCCTCGTCGATTTTCGTGTCTGGTACCCCCGTCCGCCGCCCATGGGGCCAGATTGTAGAGGACATCAACGCGGCAGAAAAGAAACCCCTGTTCGTCCCTTGCCGGACCATGGATTTCGAGCTGGAACTCGGCGCATTTGTCTGTGGGGGGAACCGTCCTTTCGACACCCTCTCGGTCCAGGAAGCCGAAGACAACATCTTCGGCTTTGTCTTGCTCAACGATTGGTCTGCCCGCGACATCCAAAGGTGGGAGTACGTGCCCCTGGGCCCGTTCAATGGTAAGAACTTTGCGACCACGATCAGCTCCTGGGTCGTCCTGGCCGATGCCCTGGAACCATACCGCAAACCGGGCCTGAAGCATCCGGGACCCCTGCTCCCGTACCTACAGGAGGCGCGAGAAGATTTTACATACGATCTGCGGCTAGAGGTTCAACTGGTTAGCGGCAAGACGAAGCAGACCACTACGATTTGTTCCACCAACGCGTCAGAAGGTCTGGTCTGGTCATTTCCGCAGATGTTGGCCCATCACACCGTCACAGGCTGCACGATGAAACCAGGGGACCTGCTCGGTTCAGGAACCATCAGTGGCTCGACACCCTCGTCGCTTGGCTGTCTCCTGGAAAAGACATTGAATGGGAAGGAGCCGGTACTGTTGAACGGAGGAGAGAGCAGAACGTGGCTCGAAGATGGAGACGAGGTGATTCTACGAGCGTCTGCAGGGAATGAGAGCGATGGATACGTCGGCTTCGGTGAGGCCGCTGGCTTGCTTCTCCCTGCGCATGCGCATCAGCATAAACTGTAGTGTTTGTTATTCTTCTCCTATAGATGGCTTTGGTAGAAGTCCTCCCAAAGCTTCCTCCATGTATAACTCATTTGTCCCAGTTCATACGTTTTTCAAGTTCTGGTAACTTCCACTTCCTCAAAATTGGCAATCGTACGAGGGTATAGTCGAGCTGCTCTCAAGCACCATCTACAACCACCGCCGGGACGCTCAGTCCGCCAACTTGTGGGTACGAGACTAGCCCACGATAGAAGCAACCTGTTCACTTGCCCCCTAAATAGATTGAGAAAACAACGACTTCCGTGGGGAACTCTGAGGCTTGTAGAACCAACCCGTTCACTTCCCCCCTAAACCTTCCGTGGGTGACCCTAAGGCCCGGAGGGCCACAAAGACGGGATGCTCGGAAATTTTCCGAGCTCCAGGAAACCGACGGGGACGCAGACCACACCAAGCCTGGGGTGTGGCGAGCTTTGAATATATGGATGACCATTGAGGTAGTTTGCTGTATAATAATGTATAATAGTGGCTCTACCGCTGTGTAGTTGACCGACCCAAAGTGACGAGCACCAGTAGAGTCGAGAAACAAGTACAACCTCCGAACAGAAAGAATGCCGTTCTCAAACTTCAAGACGCCGGAGAAATACAGATACAACACCGGCTTCGGATCATATCAGGAGTAAGTCTACACTGCTTTCTAGCCATGGACCTCTTGAATTGCGAGGCTGAAAAGGAGACAATGAAACTCACACGGCAACCAGATCCGAAGCAATTGACGGCGCTCTGCCGATTGCTCAAAACACGCCCCAGCGGCCGCCGTTTGGGTTATACACCGAAAAGATCTCTGGCAGCGCCTTTCAGGCTGGAAGGGGAGAGAACCAGCAGACATGGCTGTATCGGATTCTCCCTGCTGCGGTGCATCGGCCTTTTGAACCATTGGCGTCTGATGAGGACGGCGACTCCGAAGCCACTGACACGAACTTCAACGCTTACGACAACCTGATTCGCATTCCCACCCAGGTGCGATGGGATCCGTTCGACATTGACGAGAAAGCAGACTGGATTCACTCGATGCGCCTGATATGTGGCGCCGGCGACGTAGCATGCAAGTCGGGCGTGGGATACTTCATCTTCACAGCGGGCCAGTCCATGGACCCCAAGACCGCGTTTTTCTCGACCGACGGCGAGCTCTTGATAATCTTGCAGGCCGGAGTGCTTGATATCAGGACCGAGCTGGGCCACCTGCTCGTCCGACCGCTGGAGATCTGTGTCATCCCGCGAGGCATCCGATACAATGTGTCTCTCCCAGAGGGTCCAGTCAGGGGCTATGCCCTCGAGCTGCACCAGGGCGTGTTTACACTGCCGAATCTGGGGCCCCTCGGGTCCTTTGGGCTGGCCAATACGCGAGACTTCCAGATTCCTGTCGCGTCGTTCGACAACGACACAACCGGCAGCGAATACACGGTCATCTCGAAATTCGGCGGGCGCCTGTTCGCCGCGAAGCAGGACCACTCGCCCTTCGACGTGGTCGCCTGGCACGGCCTGTACTACCCGTACAAGTACGACCTGGGCCGGTTTATGACAGTGGGGAGCATCTCGTACGACCACCCGGACCCGTCCATCTTCACGCTCCTGGCCTCATCCGACGGCGTGGCCGAGATGGCCATCTTCCCGCCGCGCTGGCTCGTCATGGAGAACACGTTCCGCCCGCCCTGGTACCACCGCAACACCATGTCCGAGTTCATGGGCCTGATCCAGGGCGAATACGACGCCCGGACCGACGGCGGGTTCCGCCCCGGCGGCGCGAGCCTGCACAATGTCATGGTCGGGCATGGACCCGACAGCGCGACTCACGGGCGGGCGTCGGAAATGGAACTCGTGCCCCAGAAGGTCGGCGAGGGGAGCATGGCTTTCGTGCTCGAGTCGAATGTGTTGCTCGGGATCAGCGAGTGGGCTTGGACAAAGTCGAGCAAGCGACAGCTGAACTATAATGCTCAGACGTGGATGGGGCTGAAAAGCAACTTCAAGGTCCCGCCTGCCTCGAAGGTGAAGTCGCCCTTACTCGCCGCCGCAGGAGACTCTGAGAAGAATGGAGAAGCAGGGCTGAGGGTCAATGGCCATTAAGATGTGGTCGAGCTGGCAATATTGGTGGTAGGTATTGTACAACTGGGACATTGTGTCAAAAGCAGTCGGACGATCTTGAATGATGGAAAGCTGACGCATAATCATGAGATTGGAAGAGCTGGATGATGCTTTGAATCCTCAAGGCACTCAGGTCGAAAATAATCAACATTTCACAATCATTCCCGCTAGGATGTATATATGAGCGCATCTTTCAAGTATCAATGGTCGAAAATGGGTATTGGTTTCATCCCCTATCATAACGTTATAGGTTTTCGGTCGTAATCCTCTTGTCCTCAGTCCTCAAGCACAAAACCTAGCTCATGGTTTATGTACTTGGGACAATATCCCAGTCCCTTATGTCCAGCACAATCATGTGTCCTGGAGCGTGTCCAATAACGGGACCATCCAGAGCAGCTTGCCGTACCGCTTCTTGTGGCGTGACACCACAGCCCCAGAAGACAGGAACAAATTCTTCCGCTTCGTCGCCAACACCCTGAACGAGTACTGAGCCATCAGGCAGGATAGGGCTGTCTCCAAAGTCCGGCTTGCTGATGTCCTTGATCCCGAGGCGGGTCGCGGCATCCCAACCCCAAGCGATTGGCTCGCCGTGCGTTGCGACATATGTGCGCGTAATGTCTCTGACTTTCTCGATATCTCTTCGGCGGTACGGTCTCATCGACACCACATATGTGGACTGGCTGAAGACTCCGGCCGGGCACAGAGGAAGGGTCGTCCGATACATGGGTACGTTCCTCCCGTGTGCCATGTGGGACGGAATCAACCCTTCGGCGGCAAGTGCGGCCTCGAAACTGAATGAACAGCCGATCAAGAAGCCGACGTGGTCTTCACTCCAGGTCGAGCCGACGTCGCGACAGTGAGACTGTGCCAGCTTGCCGTCCTCGTAGACCATGTACTTGGGAAAGTCGTGGCGAAGGTCGACATCTCCTGCGATCTCTTTGCCGGTTACTCCAGGCACCCATGATTTCAGCTCATCCCATCGTCCCACTTCCTTGGACTCGGCCAGCAGAGGACACGGAACAGGGTTCCTTTTGCATAACAACCTGAAATCCTCTGCAAACCGCGACGGCAACGCGATCAGGTTTGCCTGGACGTAAGTGGGCGCGGCGCCGGATGTCTGCTTGTCGTACGCACCGGTTCTCGCAGCGAGACGAATGCTTTCTCCTGTCTCTCTGGGACTCGGCTCGGCCTTGACTGCTTTGCGTAGGTTTGGCTGGTCGACAGCCTGGTCAAGTGCAATGGGAGCCATGGTGAACAAGGTTGAAGGGATGACAATGGGAACGCCCGCTACCTTTGTAATCGAGATACGTGGTATATCAGCGATATTCTGCGAGTGGCATTCAACAACCCTCTGTCCTGCTATTCTTCTAGACGGAGTACTTGTGTTGCAAACACTCAAGAAATGAAATCACAAACAACTCCTCGTCTCCTCCTTGAATAAAAGTCGCTCTTCTCCGGTACGAGCATACGTCAAAGCCAGAGTGATCGGCAACCTGGCACATGGTAAGCGCTCCGGCGCTGTTCTTTCTCCACGTTGGAGACCGAGACCCCGACGGATTCGACAAGTATCTTTCCTTGCGCATGTCTGCTGCAGGGCGCTGCCTTCCCCTGGTTCGACATGGTGCGGGTCACCAGAGAGAAGGAACCGCTTTCTAATCCGCATCGGCCGCCGCTCAGTTGAGTGCGCAGTTAAACCTGTGAGAGGAGACGCCCTACCTGCTTGTTTGCCATTCGGCGGATTCAGCATGTCTCCACGTTCTTTTAAGATAACTGTTACCTCAGACTGTTAGTGGTGGCTTAGGAATGACCCGAGCAGGGTTCCTTGATCTCGGATTGCGGCTAGATCCGGAACGAGGTTTCCGAGTGAAAGTAGAGGCGTGGGGCACACAGCATCAGTGTGCTGCCCTCCTATTTACACACTCGCGGCTGGGTTGTGCTGGTGGACAGTAGAATACAAGGCTCAATGGGTGTTCTTCTTGAGGCGAAGGAGGAGGGGGAGTAAAGGAGGCGATAATCATGGGTGTTGCGGGTCAAGGAGACACATGAATATACGTGCTACGATTTCCTTCGGAAATGCGCAAGAAGGAAAGGGAGAGATAGTTCCGGCAATCGCTAGAGCAAGCTCTTGTTCGAAATTTCCTGAGTAGTATTTCGGTATTTCCGTAGATTTGTGTTCGATTCAGAGTCGCTGATCACAGCAGATCTCCTGTCTTTCTTGTATGGACTCATGAACGCCCTCTTCTATCCACATCCCTTTCTCTGACGACCACGAGGGTTGTGCCCTAATAGGAAGATTTCGCCACGAGCGGGCCTCCGAGGAAGATTGGCTGTTTGTTGCAGAAGTTAGGGATATCTCCCAAGACCGGCTTTGCGTCTTCCGAGGTCATGGCCGCACCCATCTGCTCGGGACTATCCCAAACCAAAGTCCCTCCCACAACAAACTTGGGTGGCGTGCCGTCTGGACCGGGCTTGTATTCGAGCACCTCCCATTTTACGAGACCGTGTTTCTTGAAGGCATTCTCAACGAGCGGCATGTGCGTCTTGAGGTAGTAATCCAGGTCGAACTTGGTGTCGGGGTCATTTGGGTAGAGGACTGTTGCGTGGAAAGGCATGGTGAGGGTGTGGTGGATGGTTTTCCGGGGGCGGGTAAGAAGATGTTCGTCGCTGAGTCTGAGATCTGATCTTTGCGGGCGTCGTACTTGAAAGGAGTCTGGGTGCTTCAGGGAGAGCAAGGGAGCCCAGCTGAAGTTTATATCAATGTCTCGCCATGTGCGGGGGATTTGCTAGTAACAGACGAGGGGCTGGCTGAGACGCGACATCGACCAGTCGACTCGATCGTCCGTCCGGACGACGCAATGCTCCGACACCGAGGTAAAATGTGATGCTCTGGCTCGCTTCGACCGAGCAGAATCACCAGAAACCCAAACAGTTGCCCCTCTTGGGTCGTGTCTGGGCATCTCCTCAACTGTGGGCCAGCAGAACGCAGTCTTTTGTGCGCTAGCCCATGCCGAACCAACAGCTCTGGACAAGCTGCTCATGTAAAGGCGCCAAGATGCCCGGAATGAAGGATGAATTTGTGCACAAGAAGAACTTCCATGCTTCGTTGTCGCGGGCGAACTCTTTCCATCTTGGCATGTTTTGTGCTCAATTCAGCAAGCGTTTCGACCTCGCCATCCTTCAGCTGAAAACCAAAGGAGTGCGCGTGAGGCGCCAATTCCAGCAGCTCATGTGACGAAGGAATTACTATACATTGGTTCTCGGAGTCGAACCAGGGCAAAAGAGAAGCACAAGGGAGTCGAGAGGGAGGAATGAAGTGCGATGGTGGGACTCCGACGCAGTCAGCCAGCAGAGGATGCACATTTGAGGAGATAGTGCATGCTGTACCGAGTACTCGGTAGCCCTTATCGATAAGCCTTTCTCCACCCAAGATTTTCTTCTCACATTGCGCCTCAGTGGCCTCCGTGCCTCCTCGTCTGGTCAGTGTGATTGCAACGCCAAATCTACTAAAGACTCCGATATTTTTTTCATATGCAATGGTAGGGCGAGAATGTTCTTTTGGAAATCCAAAGCTAACTGAATTACTCTCAGGCTCCTGTTCGTCAACCTGTTTCCGGGAGCGTGCGGCCTCTGAAGTCCATCTTGAAAAAGACGTCCAAGGCTGGTGAAACAAGTGCCACACCAAAGTCTGAACTGCTCTTCCCGTCCTCGAAGAAAGACAAGCGTCGAATTAAACATGCCGAGCTCATGAACAAAGTTGCGAAATCCTCTGCCAAAACTCCCAAACGAAGGCGGCCAAACAAGAAACTTGTCGCAACCCTTGATTCCTTAGCAGCTGCTCTTCCGGATGACGATACACGGGATATTAGTGATGCACATGGGACAGGTGCATCTGCAGGTGACAGGCCTCAAGACCAGGTCAACATCATCAGGCGGAAGAGTTTGAAGTCTCGGCCGGGCGCACTGAAAAGGAGGGAGAAACTCGATAAAGGTGAACGAGATCGATTTGCGAAGAACATGGCGCAACTTGCGGCACCAAGGCCAGCAACTGGAGGCGCAGCCAATCCATCTGGTAACGCTGCCGGTGTTGGAGGTACCACTGCTTCCATTCCGTCGACAAGTGAGAGGTGGGCTGCCCTGAGAGGGTTCATCTCCCAGACGTTGGAGACGAAGCCTGAGTTAAAGAGCGCGACTTGAGAGATGCAACCATTTCACAGCCAGGATCTTAAGGCTTCGAAGCAAACAGCCCCATGTCCACTTCGGCCGCATCATTGAAGAGATAAACAGTCCAGCGGCTACAATATCTTGGCCACGAAGAGCACTTGCGTCTGAAGGAGTGTTGAAAAGCTTCGATAACACACTCGTGGCAAGAAGTGCCGGCCGTGAGCAGCGAGCATTATTGACGAGGGATGGCTCTGAAGCCGTCTGTTAGGTCTGTCTGCATTGCCACGCTCTCCAGCCTTCCCACCTGAATCTTCAAGGATAACCAGGGAGCATCATGTGGGCTTCAGGCTTCACTCTTGACCATATGCAGCCCTTTTCCCAATATCTTCACCACCGAAAGAGTCAAATATCACAGCGAAATGATCAATTTTATCATTATTTTACGCGTTCACTCCGACGCGATCGCATAGAACCTGGCGACACACGGCAATATGAAGCATGAGGTTCAGATCTAGAAAAGCTGACACCTGTCGCGGTTGAGAAGCCGATATCAAGTCCCTATGTCGACACTGCGGCGGTCACCCAAACTAGGTACCAGACAATGAAGGTGTCAACTGCTATCTTTGCGGTTGCGACCGTGGGATTCCCTTTTCAAACTCTAAGCACCATGAGAGTGAACAAGACGTGGCGGTTTTGGAAAAGCCAGGGGCTGCCTGGCGGCAAAATCGCTATGATTCGTGAGAGCTCTTTCCAGAGCTTCGATTACATGTCTGACCCTCAGCTCCGATCGTCAGCAGCAAATTTATCATTCCAACGTCCCCTGAAATGCTTCTTTGAACCTACTCGACTGATCAATTCCACGTCCTGCTCTGGCAACGATTTATTCAAAGCCAGCAGGTGGTCCTGCATCCGAGCCTTCTCCGTCGAAGTTGTCACCACCACAATCTCTTGCTGTAACGCCCATCGTATCAAAGTAACAGCTGTACTTATTCCCTGTTGCTCTGCTATGGACTCCAACTCACTGTCCAGAGGACCTGGAGTCGCTCTGACTATTGGCGACAAGGGTGAGAAGGCAAACGTCTGTATATCGTGCTTCTTGTGGTACTCCCGCAGCTCAGTACGTTGAAGGTACGGGCTCAATTCGATCTGGTTGCACGCTGGCCTTATCCGTGCAGTCTCCAATATTGTCTCGATGTGGGCTTCTGTGAAGTTAGAGACACCGATGGCGCCGACTTTCCCGGAATCGAATATGGCCTCGAGCTCGACCCAAGCCGCTTGGAGATCTGCGTTGGTATTGCCAAAGTAAGGGTGGTGAAGCAAATACAGGTCGATATACCCAACACCTAGTCGATGCAAGGTACGATCAAACGCTCCTTTGATGTCCGACATTGTGAACACTTCATGCTGTTGTCAACTTTTCCACGTGTTGCAGATGGCTGCGAAAACGCTCACCTTTCCCGGTAATGTAGATCTCGGAGACTGGAACGCCGGATTGCTTTATCGCCTCACCGACTTCCCTCTCCGTGTTATATACTGATTCAGGTAAGCAATTAAGCATGACTGTGGTATTGAACGCTCACGCTCAGCTGTGTCCAGGTGACGATAGCCAGCCAGGAGAGCCTCTTTCACCATGTCGACAAGGCCGGTGTTGAGAGTCTCTGGGTCTTCCTTTCGCCATGTTGAGCCGGTGCCGAACGCCAACTGGAAGCTGCTGTCAGTTTGTGATCAGGGTTTGCTGGCCTCATCTTGTTGGACCTACCGTGAAAGGTCCAGTCAAAGGCTTCGGACTGTGACCAAACATCTCTGTTGGAACGTCCGCGAATACTCTGGTCAACGAGCGGCTCCGCTGTTAATGATGAGGGTCAATTGCAAAGACTACACTTACTGCTCCTAGCACGACCGAAATATCTGCTCACGGCGAGTCTTCGCTGGTTCATAAGCCGTTCGCATATCCATTTCTGATTACTCTTCATGAATTTTTGATCCTGGATCCTACACCCCTGATTGGATATCTGAGGGAGACTGATCTTTGTCATGCCAGCCGAGCTAGCGATCAGCGAAGCAGGGAATACACAGATCTACCATCTTATGCCAGGCAGGAGATGGTGTGCAACATGCATCGACAATAGCACATACGAATTTCGTCGGCCAAAACTCGGCTTTCCCTACCCTACTCTGATATGCATATATTACTATTCAACCCGAGACTACTTAGTCACCCCCCTTTCTATTCGCATCAAAGGTTCGATTACTTTGAGCAGGTCCTGGAGAACGCCACTACTCGCAAAAGAATATACCCTTTTGAGTTTCCCCTCTTCTGCGCCCGGCCAAAGTATCTCAACCACTAACCAGACCAGTTTGCTGCAATGAGGTTGCTAGCATGCTGTCTAGCATGGATCTACAAAACTTAATCCAGTCCGATGTCCTCATGCTGGCACAATCGGAACCGCTTCAATACTCATGGCGAGTCTCGTACGCAAGGATTATGGGGCACCACTCACAACATCAGCTCTAGGACTTCCTACCAGCGTCTTCACCTGGGAGGTATATGCAGGTATGATGAGGCACAGGTCAAAGATTGTCGACGGTCCTTGCTTGCTCATCTCAGAGCCGTATGGTTCCTCTTTTGTCAGATTACAGGGCGCTGCCAACTGTCAATGGAAGGCGGAGGCCCTGAAGAATGGATATATATACATCTTTCAATTGCCAGCAATCGTTGTACCAGATCTCTCTCCACCACAACAGACACCTCTATAATTTACCAAGCTTTGATACAACTTTTTCTTCCTCTGAGAACGCCGCATCATGTTCAAATCAATCCTCCTAATCGGCGCAACGGGTGTGGGTAGCTTCGGTGACTACGTGGCCCACGAGCTCATCAAGGACCCAACCCATTTCACCCGCATCGCCTTCTTCAACAACACCTCCAGGCCCGCCGATGAAGCCAAGATGGCCCAGATCCAAGATCTCAAGGCACAAGGCTTTGAAATCGTCGAGGCAGCTGACTATACTTCTCCGAAATCCTACGAGGGCTTCGACTGCGTGCTGATCTTTCTCGGAAACCATGGACTACATCTCCAGCCCAGCATCATCAACGCGGCCATTGCAGCTGGCGTCCGCCACTTCTATCCGAGCGAGTACGGTGCCGATATCACCGAGGGCCAGAATTGGACGCAGCGCTACTACAAGCACAAAGTGCAGACGCGCGAGCACCTTGACGCCAGGGCCCAGGACACCCCGGATCTAGGATGGACATACTACGTACTTGGCCGATTGACGGAATGGGCCGTGATCTCCCACTTTGGCTTCGACAACAAGAACGCGACGGCGAAGATATACGGCACGGCGGAGGGGAGACAGAGCTTGATCGGCGCCGAGGACAGCGCGCGATACCTCGTCGAGACACTAAAAGAGCCGCTGTCTCCCGATGCCAAGGGGAATCGAAGAACATATCGCATCTCAGGCAGCAACCCGACATATGCGGAGATCTTTGAGGTGCTCGAACGGGTCACAGGCAGAAAGTACAACGTCGCATACTTGGACGTCGAGAGCGCACAGCGCGAGGAGGCACAGGCCAGGGATGCAGGTGATGTCGATGCGGAGCTGGCTGCGAGCCATAAATTGGTTCAAGGGAGGGAGGGGACGCTCCTCCCGCAGCCTTGGGACAATGATCGCTTCCCTTGGATCCACCCCAAGGGTGTCGAAGAGACGCTGCGCGAGGCTTTTGCATCTGAGCGAGCGAAGGAGGTGTATGGTCTGTAGGGTAGATGGCCATCATGGCTTTCAGATTGAGGGGGACTTTTGTGCACGCTGCCAACTGACAGCCACGCACAGACGAGTGTGTCCTTCTTGGTTTCTACACAGTTTACCCATCAGATACCACCATCTGTCGGCGATCGTTTCACTCCCGCAGCTTGAGCTTCAGTAGATCCTTCTCGACAATCTCATCCTTCTTGGCCAACAGCCCTTCCATGTCCCACGGCACACTGACATATCGCCCGGCCAGCCTGTGTGGGGTCGGGGTCAGCTTCCAAGCTCTCTTTTCGCTAGCGCAGTATAGATGGAGGTAGGGGTATAACGAAGAACGTACCACTCTCTTCGTTCTCTCGTGAGCCAAACGAGCGTGTCGGCAGGAAGTTCCGGCTCGGCGACCAGAAGGTGGTGCATGTAGTCTGGCATTGTGGTTCCCACCTCGGTCTTGACGCCGCCGGGGTGGATGGCATATGCCAGCAAGCTCTGAGAAGTGCTTTTGCGTCAGCATGTTGACCGGTTCGAGGCGCCGGGGCTGTATAGTGTCAAACAAGAAAGCGTACTTGGTCTCCATACTCCTTCATCAGGAAATCATTCAGCCGGATCTGCGCCGTCTTGGTGCCTTGGTACGCACTCCCGCCGGACCTGAGGATCGTTATCAGCATTTTCCCCCCACATACTCGACGAATGGCTTGGTTGGGAAACGTACGAGGTCGTCAATGCTCCGGCGCTGGAAATGGTGATGATTGTCTTCCCGTTCCCTTTGAGGAGCAACGGCAATGTCGCCCGAGTGACGAGGTATGTTCCCTTGAGGTTGACCTCCCACGTGGACCACCAGTCCTCCACGTCGGTCTCGTGGATGGGCTTCCACACCTCCATCCTCGAGGCGTTGTTGATGACCACATCGAGCGTGCCGAACTCCTGTTCCACGGTCTTGATGGCCTTGTCTACGGCGGCGACATCGCTCGTGTCGACGCGCAATTTGAGCACCTTGGGCGTGTCTTTGCGCCCGGCTTGTTTCGCTGCCTCGACAACTTCCTTGGCCGCGGCATCGAGGTCCGAACGAGCGAGCAGCGCGATCGCCGCGGCGCCGGACTTTGCGAATGCGATGACCGTGGCGCGACCGATACCTTTGCTGGCGCCGGTGACTAGGACCTTTAGATTCGTGGGGTCCCCCTTGAGAGGGTTGATGAACTCGTACGTGTCGTCGTGTCGCGGGGTCACGAAGAAATGGCCTCCTGGGACATTTGAGGTGTCGGACATGTTGCACAAGCCGAATGTTGTCAAGGATCTCAGATATATATGTAGGCAGGTAGGTAAATAGCAAGAATATCAAGAGCGGTGAAGCAGGTCTTGATTTTCTGTCTAGTGAAGGGACTTCAGGATTCCCCGGTCGATACTCACACACTCATATACACTTATATTTATACCTAGATTCATACATTGCATCAATTTCCTCTCCCTACCATACAAATAAGTCGTAAGTCCTTTCCGGAACCGGGTTAATCCCTTGCCGACTGATCAGCCTCGCCCCGCTTTTATTCTGGCGCAAGTGGGAGCGGAGATAACACTGAGCGTCGTTAATTGCCTTAGCAGCGAAGAAAACAAAGACGAGAGATCTGAGCAAGCTTGTTGTCATCTGTCGTTGTCTGTTGGTGATCCAGAGATCTTGCTCCACACTGGTGATAGGAAGGAATTCGACTTACATTCCATTTCACTGGGAAATGTGGTACGGGAAGGATTGCCCAGACGTGGGCATGGCTGGGCGCTTTAGTCATTCCAGCATTACCATCATCACGACCGTCATCACAGCTGCTACTGATGCCAGTGACGGCGCCCACAGGTGTCGTTGGTAGGACGAGGAGAATATCCAGTCTGATATGATGGGCTGATGTAATGAAGAACGCTCGACATGGTACCACTACATGCACATGCTCAGATTCATCAGTGCTGGTAGGTTGAGTATCCGAGTTCGCTGCGGAAATATGTGGAGTCCTTCGGCCCTAAGAACCCACCAGTGATAAACGTCTATATCCGAGCTCGGGTTAGCCACATGGCATGCCATGCGTGGCCATGCCATGCCATGCGACGCTTTAAAGCCGATTGGCGAGGGGCATAACGAGATCTACAGTATCGACTCTGGCAGATCCTTGCCGGTGGTCGTTGACGGCTTTTTATCAAGTTTGCTTTCTCGTGTGCCCATCCTCTTCCAGTGTCCCGTCCAAAGCTGGGACAAGCTTTCTTCCCTCTTTCTCTCCCCGCAGGCCACCCCTCCTTGCTTACTGGGGGCCACCTACTCGTCAGGCACCCAGGCACTCCTGGGTGGTCAGCAGCTGCTTACTTGGGTTAGGGTAGGATCTCCCCCTCCTTACCCTAGTGTACGCACAGTGCGAGAGTTCATTAGTGTCTTTATAGCGAGAATGTTGAGTGTAATTCAGTATTATTATTAGGATATTACAAAGTAGTTGGACGCCTCGGCTTTACATAAGCTTGCACCTCCACCACGGCCCACGGCTCATGGCGGAACCTGATTGCTGCTTGGAAACCCCTGCAAAGCCATGCGGTAAGCGACCGCTGAAGAAGAGAGATGATTTTGAATCTCAAAAGCTCAATCTGATCGCGTAGAGAGAGTGATGCCGGATCAGCGGCTATATAAAATATGTACTGTTTCTTTTTTCTTTCGTATGTACACACTCCTGTCTCCTTGCTCAACTCGGGCCAACCTCTTCCTATTTCTTCACCGTCACCGCATAGACGGCCCCTCCAAGGGTTACGTTCTGCGCCAGCCACTGGTCGATGCCACCGGTTGTTCCCACATACAGAGTTTTTCCGACTTGGTTTTTGCTGATCCACCGGGCCGTGGTCGGTCCTGGCAGGCCGGTTGCGAAAAGGGTGTGGACGCCGGTCCTCAAATCGATCTTGCGGAGCTGGTCAGGCGAGTTGGTGATATAGGCGAACCGTTGTTGGTCGTCAATCTCAAAGTCGTCACAGTCAAGTCCTGTGCTGATCACCGTCACCGGGCCGACCTTGCGTCCCGTCGAAGGGTCGATGGCCACGCGGCCAAAGGTCCCGATGCTGGGGTTGTTGTAGTACAAGGTGCTGCCGACCACGCGGATCCCATTGACGCCGCCCCCTGCCCCATTGGGATCGGTCATTTTGGGGTCGGTGAAAAGTAGTTGAGCACCGCCGTGGACAACATCAACTCCCCAGATGCCACCGAGAGCTTGGTCGACCATAAGCACAATTCTGTTGTTCAGTGCTGCCACGCCATTCAGGAGACTCGCGCTGTTAGGGCCGCTGGCAAGCTTTGTAATGCACGGAGGGCCGGGGTTGCGCAGGTCCACCAGCCATGTGATTCCCGTTCCAGGCGTACACTATAACGATTCAATTCATTAGTCTCATTCTCGTGGAAATTTGGAAATACACAATCTGGCACGTGTGGTTGATTCGCTGCTTGTGGTAATATCAGTGGCGTAGAGAGAAAAGAATTTTTCTTTACCTCTAAGATAGTCATGTCGCAGAACATCGTGTTGGCCAGGAACAGGTCGGGCTGAATATCGGTAATGCTCATAATGGAACTGCCTACGGCGCTCCAGTCATGAAGCACTTGTTGTTGTCCGGTCGCAGGGTTCAGCTGCTTGAGGACAGCGGATGTGGCGGTAGCGGGGATAATCCAGCCGTTTGGACGAACCGCCAAGTTTTCGATCCATACTGCATCTTGGTACTGGTAGACAAGTCGGACCGAAGGGGCAGAGGCGACGTCAGGGGCGACGTCGGCTTGGGGTGTGCAGGAAACTGAGACTGCCAGATAGAGCACCAGGTTCCAGAAAAGAGCCGCCATCACTATTCAAATTCAATTCGTTGTTACAGAAGTTCGGTAAGGACAGGCAGCGAGTTGGGCTCATCTGCAGACTTTAAACTTTGACGAGAAGCTCTCCCTCCAACCAAGGGGCGGCGAGGTTGGAATTTATTGGGATTACAAAGAACTGCGGGGTCCCCCGGAATATTCCCGTGCCACGTGTTTCTCGTCCCCTAGCGACACGCCGGGTGTGGCAGAAGCCATGGGAAATAGTGGGAAATAGTGAGAAATAGTTAGATATCTATCGCGTTAGGAAGGTGCGTACGAGAATGGGGTGGATCCGGTAATTAGAGTGTTAAGTTAATAAAGTTCTGGTTAAGCGCTGGGTTCGGAACACGGAGCTGTACTACCTTACGCGGCATGTTTAATCTCCGGAGTAAGCCCGGGATATCGGAGACCACAAATTTACCTGCCTGGGCAGTTATTCGCCGCCGCTTTGGGGCAGCCGGTTGCAACTAACTAGATTTTGATCGATTATTCATCGAAACGGTGGGGAGTCCACGAGGTAACTGTATGCATCACGTGCAAGAAGCATTTCGGCCAACCTGCCACGACTGAATGAGGCAGAACTTATCACGTGGACCTCACGTGCGCCATCGGCACCCCCACAGAGCACTTAGTCAGCACTCACCTTCTTGCCCCATTTCTACTCAATCCGAAAACGGTTATGGGTTTTGAGGAGGGGAAGATGGTCCTGTAAATATCGTGGTCATTGGGATATAGGGGATGAACAGGACAATCCAGATGTGTAATAATGCTTACACCCTTTTCCATACCCGTTTTGGGTATCTTGTACGAGTAGAATGGCCTGATGGCCGATCTCCGAGCCGTACTCCTGACCCCAAACGTCAATGATGACAAGGTCTAGACTTTATGCGTTGATGCACCTTGATCCTGGGTCTTGAACCCCAAGCTCCCAAGCTCGTCAAGGTCAACTCCTGACTCAAACGAAATCGATACACGTACTATTGGTAGGTATATCCCAAGAGGTATTACCATCCAGGATAACCTGAATCGGTTAGTCTCACTGAACACGCTACTTACCGAGGTATGTGGGGTTCGAGTATTTTCTTCATTACTGACAACGCTTCCCGATACAGAAATGTAGGACAAGTGTAACTCGTCAGAGCTGACTTACATCCTGCAGGGACATTGCCGCAGTCTGATGAATCCAGGTCTGGCAAACGACCGCTGACGGCCAACCCCACACGCTGCCTCTGGATTTCACGAATGAAGTGGCAAAGCCACGCGCAAAACCAGCATTGAGTAACTTGACAGAGATTTGACTCTGGTGAGATGGCTGCCAAAGCAGGCGAAGGTTGCCCGCCGCTGATCAGGCAGGAAAAAGGGATGCATCCACCATGTCCATGCCGCCACCACCACATATGGTGTTCTGGTTATAAAAGATGGCATCACCTCTTGATGCGAGCGCTCCTGAGTCTGCAGGTGGCACTGCAGAGTCTTCTTACTATCCAAGTGAGAGGAACACTTCCAAGAGTGACCTTTGACAATGCTCTGGTCTTTGGCTCTCGCTATCTTTGCGGTAGGGTTGTACCTCTCGCTCGGGCTCAAGGGTCAATGGCCCGATGGACCTCGAGGTATCCCGCTCGTCGGAGTCTTGCCGGACAAGAAATTGACTCTCAACCAACAACTCACCAAACTGGTTCCTCGATATGGGGACTTCTTCTCCTTCAACATGGGCCGCTCCAAGGTGCTGGTCCTCAGCAGCCCGACCACGATCGAGGACCTGATCATCAAGCGAGGACAGAATTATTCGTCGCGACCGTCTCCATCCCCCCAGGCAAAGATCATTGCTTCGGCAAGGATGGTGCAATTGGAATATGGTGACCAGTTCAGAGTGGGTTTGGCATCTTCACCCTGTCACTACCCACGAATCGAATTATGCCTGTACTAATGCATCAACTCCAGAAACATCGAAAACTAATTCATCGCCTGCTGGGGATGCAGAACGCAAAGATCTTCCAGCCCTACCAAGAATACGAAAGTCGACAGACGCTGAAGAACATCTTAGAACATCCTGACGCATTCTACACAGAGGTCGCACGATATTCGGCCAGCGTCACTTTTAGTCTCCTGTGAGTTGGGGCCACGGTTCCTCCAAGGATTGCATCAACAGACAGACACTCACGAATGGCAGCCTAGGAGCCCGTTTCACCAGTAGCGACACCCGTATCCCAGAAACTATCCGCTACGTCGCACTCGACATGTTTCAGAGTATGATCTTGTAGCTTAGCGAGTCGTTGAAGAAAAATACACACACTGACTTGGTGGGATCTCAGAAATCCGTCCGGGGTACTGGTTGGCCGACTGGATCCCGGTGCTGAATTACCTTCCCGACAACCTCGCACCGTGGCGAGCAAAAGCACGCAGAACCTTTGACAACCTCATTGGGTTCTGGGGCATCTTCTACGACTCGATCGTAGAGCGGATGAAGAAGGGTGACGCCCCCGACTGTTTCCTCACACGGTTCCTGGAGAGCCCCGAGATTGACAGTTTCTCCGAGGTCGAAAAGCGCACGATCCTCTCGGAGCTGTTGGGCGCGGGCTCCGAAACCACGGCGACCACGCTGCAATGGTTCTTCAAAGCCTCGGTGGTATATCCCGACTTTATCAAGACGGCCCAGGAGGAGCTGGACCGCGTGGTCGGGCGTGACAGGCTGCCGCAGTGGGAGGACCGCAGCGAACTCCCCTACATCAGCGCCGTCGTGGAAGAAATCCACCGGTGGGCCTCTGTGGCGCCTCTCGCCTTCTACCGCGCCACCAGCGAGCCCGACAACTATCGAGGCAAGACGATCCCGGCGAAAACGACCGTCATCTATAACGTGTATGCCATCCACCACAGCAGCGAGTACTACCGCGACCACGAGGTGTTTCTACCCGAGCGATTCTTGCCGGACAGTGATCCTCGATACCTCCCTCGACGTGCACACGCTCCCATGCATTATGCCTTCGGCATAGGGAGGAGAGAATGCCCCGGGAGACATGTCGCCGACGCGTCTCTGTTCATCGTCATCAGTCGGCTCTTGTGGGCGTTTAACATTGACCAGGGTAACCACCCACGTCCCAGCGACGAAGTCGGTAAGTCATATCCCTTCCCAGATGGAGTTGTTACATGAAACACCGCAAGCTTGGCAAGCGCTGACGGTTGTCCTGTCTTGTCTAGCCGGGAGTAACCCGCTCTTCAGACCCGTCGCGTTTTCGTGTGATATTACCCCGAGGAGTGAGAAGATTGCAGACAAGATCCGTGCCGAAGCCGCAGTCCAGGACCCTGCGCTACGAGTCGAGGATGCCGCGCAGTACGAGGAGAGGGTGATGAAATTTGTGAAAGAGCAAAAGGTTGGGGCGTGATGCCCTCAGTAAGCATTGCCAATGAGGGGGTCAGGGGGAGCAATATATCGGGCACAGGGAACACTATCTAGATACTCATTTGAATGAACGAGACATCTCAACGGAGGGACCGACCACATTATGGATACAGTTCAGAGGCCTATTCGTGGTCGAACGGCCAGCCGAAAGATCTGGTTCAGCGGCGCCCGTGCAACGACGAATGCTTCACGTTGGTCTCATCTTGTCTCGCCCCGTCCATTGCAGCAATTTCTCGTGTTCAGCACCATGCAATGCAATGCCACACCGACACAAACAATATCTACTCGGTGAAAACCAACCCGCGTTTTTCTGCAATATTGGAAGAAGGCAGGTCTGTTCAAGCCTGGCCAAGGGCATTGGCGAGGGTAAGATTTTGTCTTGATCCTTGGCTGCAATGTGGCGAGTACCTCGTACTCGGTACAGCACCCTGATACACTCTTGTCGTAGGCCAAGGCTACGGCCCCCCTAAGGAAAGACCCGTTTGTCCAAGCAAAAAATCAAGCTCATCTCCTGCTTGGAATACGTAACGACATGTGATGATTTCTTGTACCGACTCTACATTGTATTTTGTACATGGTAGAAAAGTGGTGAACCGCGACGAACTTCTAGGCTGGAGATTGTCAGTCGGTTTAGGGCTGGACGAGAGGGCCGTTGATCACATGCAGGGCCAGCCACCGACACTAACGTTCGGAATCGGGGGTGGTGTTCCCAAGTTCCCGATTTCTCGAGTGTTTGAGAAACCCCGTGGGGATCCAGGCATCGTACTTGTATACCTAGGTACCTAGGTAGACAAATCAGCTGCCTGAATCTCCGAAGGTCTCCCCCAAGTAAGTGAAAGGTTAGTGCCAACCCCCTCAGCGAGGTGTGATGGCGATGGCGTTGGGTGGATTCCTTACCTCGGTAGGCACACATCCCTCCCCTGCATGCCGGGGAGGACATGATCACCATGTCTCTGCCGCTTGCCCTCTGCCTCTATACGAGCTACCTAGCTCGTGTCTTCGTACACCTAACTCACCTCAACACCCCTTGACCTTGCTCTGGCCCGTGCCCTTGCGACAAGTACATCGCTACAAGGACGTCACTAAGGGGTCAAGGTCGCAAACTTGTGAGAACCGCAGCCTGGCAACCTGGTTTCTCCGTGTTCGTTGGTATCTGTGCCAAATCGGATCGATAAACCCGGTCGAGTGTCTATCACATGTGCCTATCTACTCATCTATCCACCTGTCCTACCAATGAGACCCATCACGAATCCCCGTATGCCGGACCGAACCCGAAGCCCTGTCCAGGTGTCGTGTCCATGTGACAACTACGAGCACCAGAAGCTCTTCGGGCTATTGCAACAGGCGCAGTGCACAGAGCACAGTGTCAGGAAAGATTGGGGAAGTACATAGATTTGTAGTTCGGTCGATTCTCTAAATGGCCTATAGATCCGGCCGTGGTTCTATAGACATTATCCTCTCTTTCCTGGCTCTATACTCGTACTCTGTGCGGGTCTGAGCACGGTTGAAATTCTTATCCCTGCGTCCAGCCCGGCTGTAGTCCGATTCTCCTGGAATGATCAACGGATGGCACGAGCAAAAAATGTCGATCCAAACG